AGTCATGAAAGCTGGCTGGGTATTTTGGGCTAGTCATTCTCTCTCAGCCCAACTCATCTCACAGGTTGTTGTGGGGAAAATAGGAGGAAGGAATATTAGGTATGTTTGCAGCCTTGAATTCTTTATAAAAGGTAATCAATCATTTGTTCCATCAAACCAATCCAATCTCAAACAGTAGTCAGCATCAATACATAGCAACTTCTTAATTTCTGAGCATTCCTGGTAGGAAGTACCTTCCTATACAGCCTCTGCCTCCTCGACAGGAGAACTGCACCCCCATGTGGACTATTTAGGAAGCATTTGAAGACATGGCTATTTCAATATGCATTGGGGAACTGAGGAAAGAATGGGGATGTACCTTGAGATGAATCCAGGTATTTTTTTTTAATGTTATAAGGCATGATGTTTTCTTATATTATTACAAGTTGTAAAGCACCCCTTCTGAGGCCATTGTAATTTTGAACAGTTAAACAACCGTTCATTAAGCGAGGACTACTTTAGTTTCCACCGTAGCATTCTAACCTCAGTGCTGGGTTGGCTCTTGATTCACATGTATATCCTTATTTAAGCTGCTCTTCAAATCAAGAGGGCTGGCCTTTAGTTCAGACCTGCTTTTTTCCAGCCCATAGTTTAGGAAAGGGACACCCATCCACCCCAGAGGTGGTATTCAGCAGGTTCTGACTAGTTCTGGAGAACCGGTAGTAGAAATTTTGAGTAGTTTGGAGAACCAGAAAATACCACCTCTGATTGGAGATTTTACAGTATCCTTTGCCTGCCACACCCACCAAGCCACGCCCACAGAACCCGTAGTAAAAAAAAATTGAATCCTACTACCACTATCGTTTTGAGGGTTGAACTGGGACTCTTTGCAACAGCCTACAAGCTTTACTTTTGAGCAACATAATTCTTCAAATCTGTACTCTGTGGATCTCAGTCTATCAGCTGAATACTTTTGATCCTTGAAAAATGCTCAGGTTTATAGCTACACTGTTACGGTCTTGCTTTTTCACTCTAGGGCAGTTTCTGCACAAGTGTTAATTGCCAGAAAGCTGGAAATTCAAAAATTATTTGGATCTTACTGCAGTGAGATTATTGTTTGAACAAGATGGGAAGATTTGGCACTACCCAGGATAGAAGAATGGTTGGTAAAGATGATAGACCCTGCCAGGATGGCTAAATTGATTTCTTTGAGCGAAGAAAACTAAACTATGTTTATTGCTGACTGGAAACGCCTTATGGATTTTTGCACAAAACTAAAAAAAAAAAATATGATTTATGAGTTTGAATCATGTTGTAACAGAGTAAGAGGTAAATTTTTAACTGTTCTTCTATCTACTGTAAAGAAGAGGTCCTCCTGCTTCCGGTTTGAAGTCTCTTCGGTGACAGACAGAAATCCGCGATCATGCATGGTTTCAGTCTGGGTTTCTGGTGAATGTTTTGGCTGACTGTAAAAGCAACAACTAAGGTACCCTGGAATTTAAACTTACAAAAAAATAACATCGCTCCCAAAGAAGAGTTGGAAGCAGTGAAGGAAAGTGAAAAGGGAAAGGTTTGGCTTTTTTTTCTTCTCTCTCCTTCCCTATACTGACAACTAAGATACTTAAATAAGAAATCGGAAAAATCTACTTTAACATCAATAGGCAATTAAGCTGAAAATAAAATGCCAAAGGGATAATAAAGATTTCTGGACACTATTTTTTTTTTTTTCATAAGAAGGAAGGGAGAGAAAAAGAATAAGGGCAGGATCAGGAAGAGGGAGGAGACTGCCTGGAATTAAAAAGAATCTGCAGTAAAACTTCAACAAGACTTCTAAAGGATACATTTTAACTGAAACTTTGTAACTAAACAGTAACCCCAAGAAGAGAAAGTGAAAGAAAAAGAACAAAAAGAAACAGCTTGTGTGTATTTGGATTATTTGGTGATCTTTGGGTTCTTGGTTATTACATTTGAATGACTAAAATTAATTGGGTGGTTGTTTAAAAATTTATACAATGGCACCACTTCTGGATGAATTGAAAATGGAACTTAAAAAGTACAAAGAAGATGCACAAGAAGGGAAGGGTTCTTTTGGCTTCGTTTTTTTCAATTCTTAGAAATGGAGATTTGGAACTATGAGAAACAATAAGAAACGTCTGCAAAACAAGAAGACTGGGACAAAGAAGAAGCCATCTTTAATGAACAAGTAATTTTATGTGGGGAAGAAAAAGGAAAGGGGGGGGGAAGAGAATGGAGAATTTAAGATTTAAAAAAACAACCAAAGAAAAGAAAAATAATTCGAAAAATAAGTATAATACTGGAAAGCAACAGAAAAGGGGAATACAGAAGAGAGAAATAGAGGGAGAGAGACAAGGGGGTAAAAGGGGGAGAGAGAAGAAGAGAGGGAAGAAGGAAAGGAAAAGAAGTTACAAAGGACCGGAGCAAGATATAGAGAAACAGGACCTATTTAGAGATAATGGGTGAAAATCTAACTGAAAAAGGGATTCTGTAAAGGTACATAAGATTGTATTGTTATATTAGTCATAGAAATAACTTTAGAAAATTGGAAACAATGCATGATTAAAATGAGGGATAAAATAGTTAGTGTAATTTAGTGAAATGTTTGTTAATAAAATGGAAGTTATGTATTATATTGAATGTTATAACTTTAGGGTATATATTGAAGCCTAAATAAGAGTTAAATAGATAAACTTAAAAGATATAAAGGCTTCATACTCCAATCAGTAACTACAGAAGAAATTTTGTTTAATGAGAAAAGATAATAGATAATTGAAATAGGACAGACAAAAAATACAAATATAATGATTTGAATTGAGATGACATAATTAAAATAAAATTGAGAAAATTAAAAGAGGGGAGAAGCTATGCAGAAAATGTAAAATAGTAATAAGATATGGAATAGAATATAAAAATGAGCATGAACTTGAATTTGTGTCTGTACGAAGAAATGTAACCCGGGATTATGCTACTTTCAAAAAAGATGTTTTATTTGTATTTTTTTTCTTTTTGTGAAAACTCAAATAAAATTTACAAAAAAAAAGAAAAAAGAAGAGGTCCTCCTTTGTATCTTTTTCTCTCTTTTCTATTTTTCTTTCTTTTTTCTTTTCGTGCACTTTTAGGTTTCCCTTTGAGTTCTTCTTTTCTTTCTCTATTAGAATATTAGTTATATTAGTTTATATTGGTTTAATCTTTAACACAACTACTTTAAAAAAAAAAACACCACAAAAATACATTGGATCTTTGCTTGGTTTTCAGCGATCCTCATTGCAAACTTGTATAGTATGGTCTGCACACAAGAACACTTTAGAGGTGAGATCCTTTTCCAGCCACGTCCCTTAAGAAATGTAAAATGCAAAGAGGGGGCGGGAACCAACAGAGAAACCATCACTGGAAGCCTCTGCATATTTTGCCAATGTAGGAGCAGAGAGGCATATTCACTGCTGCATTGGTCAAGTTCTCCGAAGGTGGCCAGTTGCCAAGCTAAGCTGCGATGCTGCTTGTTTCCTAATCAGAGTTGAACAAACAAAGTGCTGATTGAGTCTAATGGTCCCTTTAATCTGCAAGCTGGGCGCTGACACTAGATTACAGTGTTTATAATTTACAGCTAATCATTCGTGTGGAAAAAGAAAAATGAAAACACTTCCAACTAGGCCAGTCAAAAACATCCCCATTAACAGGCCTGATTAGCGATTGTTTCTACACAGGGAGCCAAAGTGGGGGGGGGGGGGGGGGAGGGGGAAAAAGGGCGGGCGCCTTCCATTCTCTAACAGCAGCTGAGATTCCAGTTCCTCAATAAAGCATGAACTCAACTGCAGTGCCAGAAGTTACAGGTTTTTCTTTCAAATTAAAGAGCTGGACAACCTGCAGTTCCCCAAGACTCTAGCTCCGGGCAATCCCTCTCTCTGTTGGCTTGGGCTAATGGAGGAATGGAGATGGCCGATTGCCATTTTAAAAGAACCAATGGCCCTCTGTCAACCCTGCCAGTTTTAATCTATTCAGCAAATCACAGCTGAGCAAATTATGCTCAACCCCATGTATGAACTGTCCTAAGACTGTTTCTAGGTCACACAATTGGGATCTGTTTGCAGGATCTCTGAGCAGGTAAGAGTTGCTGGAGAGCTGTGAAAAGCTAGTTATTATTCCACTCATATATGTACAAGTTCTAGCTTGGGCCACAGCACCACAAAGACAACTTTACACATGTTTTCAAGACTGTGCTGGAAGCTGAGTCCAACATGAAGTAACGAAGAGAGATGACTATCTTCTGAGACTTCAGCCACTGCTGGTCAGATGGCTGGCTGATACAGAAAACTGAGTAAACAGTTTTCTTCATTCATGGCTACACTTTGGCATGAAGAAGAGGAATAACTAAAATTCTAAATAGTTAAACACAATCTTCATATTGAGAGGGAAAAGACCTCTGAACACCAGAGAGACCTTTGAATCCCAGTTAATAAGGGCCAGCAATGCCAGAGCGTTATTGAACCCAGGGGCTGAATTACAGACTGCTAAAATGTTTGGCTGCAGGTTGTCCAGCTCTGAACCAAAAAGGTAGCTAGCATAAGGCTCTCTGACAAAATGGCTGATCTGGTAGGTGTGGCTAGTTACAAAGCACTTCCTGCAAGCAAGAGAAATTGCTCTGGCAGTTCTCTGTAACCTCCCAGTATGCTTTCCATTTTACCCTTTTCTGAACAGGTGGGTACACTCTGTCAGAAGCCATTAAATGTTGCAAATGAAGATGCTATTTCAGATATTTAAAATAGTCCCATGACTAGCAGAAAAAAAATAATCTGATTGTATTTGGATCAGAGAGGATTGATTTCTGCAAAGCTTTGACCCATTTTTGTAGAGCTCTCCTTTTGAACTTAGAATCTTATCTTACTTGCAACTTACCATAGTATAAACATCCTGTGGCAGGAATAAGTGGATAGCACTTTTCCTAAACCATGAGGCAAGGCCTTAGATTACCGCATCTTAACTTATTTCCATTTGGCTTTCCTTACCATTCACAATGGTTCTTCGGGCTATCTCCCATAGAACCAGACCATAAGCCCAGATGTCTGTCCGCTTGAAGGATTCAAAGCAGTCCATACGAATCTGTTCATCCAAAACTTCAGGTGCCATATAGCGTTTGGTGCCCACCCGTGGGTTGTTCCCAATATCCAAGTAATCATTGCTCTGGGAATGCATGACTGCCAATCCTGAAAGAGAGGAACAATGCCACCATGATAAGGATGGTTGTCCTATTTTTTTTTGCAACAAGTGGGCAATCTTTAATCAGGAAGCTAAACATCAAAAAAGTCAGATTTAACTGGGAAAAAGGGCATTACCCTGAGTTTAGAAGACTAGCATAACTTTTGTGGCTTGTATAGCATTACAGAGAGAGCATGAGAATGCACCTTGGTTTAGTGGGATGAGGTATATGCACATGCCTTTGTCTATGGCATATGAGTTCACATGCACCACAATTCTGGTCTATTCTTTTCCTTTATTTGTACTTGGCTTTCTATGAAGTAAGAATCATGCCTTTTTTTTGAGTTGAGAGGTGCCATTGTTTTTCACTCTGTAAACTCTGTTCTGCTGAGAAACTAATTAGGAATAAGGCTGACTGGGCTAATCAATAAAATCTCTTAGGAATGTCTAAATCAGGGATTCCTAAACTTTTTATCATCATACCTCTCTTTAGCATAACATTAATGTACACATCTCCCCTAAAAATCCAAACATCAAAATGAAGACAAATGAATAATGAAAACAATACAATGAAATTTTGGGAAAGGTGAATTTATTTTAACAATGTACTGCATCTAAAACAACGTTCCTAAACTTTCTGGCTCCACAGACTGATGGTGGCTGCGGTGGCGGGGAGAGATGGTTTCACATGCACGCACACTGCTCATGCAAATGGAGCTTCCTGTACTTGCTCGCCACTTGCGTGGCCCGGTTTCCATCGGGCCATGGACCCAGTGGTGGGATTCAAAAATTTTACTACTGGTTCTGTGGGTAATGTGCCACCTGGATAACTGATAAGCGCTGTGCTTGGGTGCACAACATTTGGAAATCCTTGTTTCATGCTTTTTCAACCTCAAGTGTGCTGTGCAAAGCAGCTGAGGAGGGAAAAGCAGGGAATAAAGGACAACCTAGAGCCCAGGCAGGCAGGTGGGCCAAACACCAAACTGGTTTGGTGTCAGCTGCTCTTCGCAGCTACAGGTTCTATAGAACAGGGCCGAACCGGTAGCATCCCACCCCTGGCGGGCATAGCTTGGTGGGTATGGCATGGGAAGAATACTGTAAAATCTCCAATCAGAGGTGTATTTGCCGGTTCTCTGAACTACTCAAAATTTCCACTACCGGTTCTCCAGAACTGGTCAGAATCTGCTGAATACCTCCTCTGCATGGACCGATAGCAGTTCACAGACTGCGGGGTTGAGGACTTTTGATCTAAAATGTTCTTCACCTCTCCTTGGACTCTGTGTGCACTTTTCCGAGAGAGGAACACTGCATAATTTGGTAAACCCTGGTCTAAACAGAAAGCTTAACTTACATCCTTGGGATTTGGTAAAAGCTAATATCTGAAGCCAGGAAACTCTGTCGCCCTAGTGTGAATGGCTGATAATCATGAGATTTGTCCTTTCCTCTAAAACATATGGCTTGATCTGTTTAAGTGAGTTTTCTCAAGCTGTTTCATTGTAAACATATCTGGGAACAGATCTATTTGTTTACTCATACAAAGGTCAAATTAGTCACCATTAATGCAATCAGGAAATTATGTGCCTTATTGGAAAAAACTGTGGATGTCAGATATGAACTTGTGAAAAGGAGTGGTTATTTCAGAAATTATTCTGTTGCATTCCATTCCATTCCAACAGGTCCTGGACTCACAAAACATAATAAAATAAAAAGACTAAAATACACTAAATACAATAAAATGAGAACATGTATGAAAAGAGAAGAGTAGGACAAAATAAGAACAATATAGCAGCTAATACTTTATACCAGGGATGTCAAACTCAAGGCCCGGGGCCTGGATCCAGCCCATGCGGTGCTTAGATCTAGCCCGTGGGACTGCTCTGGAAAGAGCGGACCAGCCTGCGATGCCTCTGTCAGTGAAAATGGAGCATGGGAGGGCTTTGTGTGATCCTCCCAAACTCTGTTTTCACTGGCAGAGGGTTGCAGGAGGCTGTTGCAGCTGAAAATGGAGCTCAGAAGCCTGTTTTTGCTTGCAGAACGCTCGGGCCGCCACAAGTGCCCTGACAGGAATGACGTCAAGTTGGCCATGCCCACCCTGGCCACGTCCTTCCCGGCCCCCCAAGGTCAAATACAACCCTGATGCGGCCTTCAATGAAATTGAGTTTGACACTCCTGCTTTATACCATACAACCAATATAGTTAACCCAAATAAGGATTGCAGTAAACAGGAAGTAGTTAAATTCTAAGCTCTCTGTTAGGAGCCTAATCATGACTGTACCTTCCATCTTTCCCTGTAGCAGAGAGGGATCATAGACCCAGGGTGGGAAATATATTGTTAAGCCTGACTCCCCCAACCTATCAGATATATAAATTTTAATTCCAGAATTCTCAGTACGAATTCCGTGAACTGAAACCCACACATCTGGAAGGCAATCAGATTGCAGAAGGCTAGTAGTTTAATGACTTAGAATTCTAAGGGGCAAATATAAGAACTCAAATTACTTCCCCTAGAAAGCTTTACTGCCCTTAAGAAAAAGGTACACATCAACACCTCTGTGTGGCCAAAAATATTTGCTCTAAAATCCACTCACCTAAATCAGCAATGCAGCACTGCTTATTGTTCTTGACCAAGATGTTCCTGCTTTTCAGATCCCGATGAGCAATGGCTGGCTTGCCCTGGGTGCCAAAGATCTCCACATGCAGGTGAACGAGCCCACAGATGATTGAGGTGGCCAAACGCAAGCAAGTCTCTACGTCCAGCACTGTGCATTGCAAGTAATCATAGAGGGAGCCATGTTCATGATAGTGGGTGATTAGCCAAAGTTGAGTGCTTGAATTCCGCGATGTCATGTCTGATGCAATGAATCCTGTGGGCAGGGAAGGAAGGGAAAGCTCAGCGTAGACAGGCAAAGTACCAAAATTGACAAAGGAGCTATCAAAGTATCTATAAATTATGTGTTGTGTGTATGGGTAAATGAGACATAGACTTTTAAATCTCTGAGCTTCTTCAGCTCTTTAAGTGTACTTAGCTTCATGGGTCTTAAAATGTGCTGCGTCTGTTTGCTTGCCTAAGACTTCTTGGGACTGATACAGCTGCTGGATTTCTGCACTTTTTCCACTCACCTAAGATGTTGTCATGCCTTAGCAGCACCGTGTTGTAAATCTCAGTCTCACGAAACCATGACTGCTCATCCCGGGAAGAGAAAATCTTGACCGCCACGTTTTCCCCATGCCAAGTACCACGCCACACTTCCCCATAGCGTCCTTTGCCTATTGTAAGGGAGAGGAACATACTTTTCAAACTCTTTCACTTGCCTTCACAAATGACTTTTTGCCTGAGCTGATTGATGTTTCAGTCATATTAGATGAAATATTAGCATTTAAATGTCTAACATACCTGACTCATTTTTTTTTTGCCAGAACAGCTGCAGAAATTGACAACAGTGAAAAATACCTTGATCAATTTAATCAGAAATAGTTATTGATTTATAGTTGGCTCTCTTAGCCTATTTTTCAAAACTGCTATGGATAAATATGCAACCCATTCAGAATCTAAATACTATTACTTTTAAATGCTTGAGAACAAAACATTTGGAGGATGATTGCTAGCAGAACGCAAAGTTTCCTTGTCAAATATTCCAAAACATTTTGCTGGTGGCAAACTGGCAATAAGAGACATTTCCATGGAAAAATTAACAGATGACACACAGTTCTTTCCTTGCCTAATGTTTATCCATTAAGTTAAGAATTTTCTTCTCAGTATCTCAGAGTTAAGGCAGATCAGCCCAAGTGCAGGCTTGATCTCCATTTTAGGTAGGCTTGCAGATAACAGAAACAAGCATGTTTAATGAAATGGCTCCAGAGCTGAGTGATAAACATTAACATGTTTACGTGAAGCATCTGTTAATGGACCAGAATACTTCAGGCAGCAGGAAGACTATCCAGGGTTTGAATTTGTCCATGCTCAAATAATCCTTGCACATAAAAGAAGACAGGCTATTTCTTTGCTCTGACTACAGCATCTCTGTGTTCTCATGATGTGTTCTATATTCAGCAAGCGAGCTAATAAATTTCTGCTTTATAGCGGGATAATTCTGTCTGGAAGAAAAATGATATTTCTGTTTACAGGGGAAATTGGCCTGCTTCAAGGCTGTCTGTCTTCCCCCTCATGTCAGCAACCTTCAGGGAAACCTACAACCAGGATTATAGTGATGTCATGCCACCTTCACAGCTCTAGGTGAGATTTCTGAGGAGGAATCCTCAGAGATGAGGAGGTAGCTGAGTAGATTCCCCCATTATGAATATATTACTATGGCTGGTTACGCAGCTAGCTAGATGCTCAGACTGGATCTGGCATTTTTATTTCCCTGTGAAATTCTCCCAATGACCTGGGATAGGTAGATGCCTGTTGTTTAATAATATTAAAGGGATTGTTACATGTTCCAGGTAAAGCAGCCCTTTTGCAATTGGCTGCAGGTGATTTTGTCAATGCTTCTTCTTCTTCTTCTTCTTCTTCTTCTTCTTCTTCTTCTTCTTCTTCTTCTTCTTCTTCTTCTTCTTCTTCTTCTTCTTCTTCTTCTTCTTCTTCTTCTTCTTCTTCTTCTTCTTATTATTATTATTATTATTATTATTATTATTAAACCTGCACTAAAATGTGGATGGGAGGATACTAACAATATTGTTTTTGGAGGGGGGAATTGACAGTGGGGTCTCTCAGGGTTCAATTGCTTCAAGAACTGTGGTGGTGCAGTGGTTAGAATGCAGTACTGCAGGCTAACTCACTGCTCACTCCAGGAGTTCGATTCCAAGCCGCTCAAGGTTGACTCAGCCTTCCCTCCCTCCGAGGTCAGTAAAATGAGGAGCCAGATTGTTGGGGGCAATATGCTGACTCTGTAAACCACTAAGAGAGGGCTGTGAAGCACTGTAAGTCTAAGCGCTATTGTTAGTGTTTCGGAATCTACAGTCTGTAGGCTCAAAACACTTTATAGGAATTGGGCATAGAAAGAGTGCTGTGTGGAAGTGTTCTGAAAGTGCCAGCTGGACACAGATATGCCTCATGAACAGTGGTGGTATTCAGCTGGTTCGCACCGGATCGGGCAAACCAGTAGCAGGAATTTGGCGTGAGTCGCCGAACCGGTAGTAATTTCTGCCTGGCCACGCCCCCGACTTGGTTGCCCTCCCGCCTGATGCTCACTTACCCCGCCCACCTGACATTCACCTAAGGTATTTCTTTTTTTCCCCCTCCTGACAATCAGCTGTTCATACGGCCAGCTGTGCCGGGATTCCGCTTGCTGAGGCCCAGGAAGGCAAAAAATGGAGGGAGGAGCTCAGCCCCCCCCCCTCCATTTTTTGCCTTCCAGAGCCCCAGAGGAGCCTTAGGGGAGCAAAAATGACCCCCGCCCAGAGGCTCCTCTGAGGCTAGGAAGCTCCCAAAAACAAGCGGGGGCTGCAAAAAAACCAAACAAAAAAACCCACACCCACCCAGTCACATGGCCACCAAGCCACGCCCACAGAACCAATAGTAACAAAATTTGAATCCCACCACTGCTCATGAATGAAGTGTTGGCTCAAGCCTGTAGATTTTATCAGAGAACTGAAATGCATATTCTTGCTTCCAGCAGGTTCAGCAGTTCTCTGCTGGTGACAATTCAGATGTTTCTTTCTCTCCTTGGCTTACCAACGCATTCAACCAAGGTGATCTGCCGAGCCACAGTTCTTTGGACTAGAAAGGGGAGCCCAGAGCCGCTTCCAGTCGTGCAGTCATCATTCAGCAAGACCTGAATACAAATCAAACCTGTGAAGATTCTCAGAGGAACAGATGCAGAGGTATATTTTGGTGTGAGTAATAAGCACGCCAAGCCTCATCAGATGAATGCAGTGGGAACTTTTTTCAGGATTCCAAAGTGCCCCGTCTCCCCTAGTCCTTGGCAGGATCTGGCTCATTTTGGACATGACCTTTCTTTTGCTGGCTTCTCCCCTACCCAAACACCTGGAATTTTTTTTTAACTGCTTTACCTGCAGTGATAGCTGCAGTTAACTGCACTGGAGGTATCTGTATTTTCTTCTCTGTGTGTTGCATCTGTGTAAGTTTCTGCTTTTTCTTTGTACGTCATATCTTTTTGGTATACAGTACATTTGCATGGGAAGTGCAGGGCAGGACGCATACGTTCTGCTGGGGGTCACATAACCAGGAGGGAGGGAGGCTTAGAAGGGAGGAATCAGAAACATTCCAAGCATCTGCCCAAGTGCTTCTCTTACAGCAGGGGTGTCAAACTCGTGTTGTCACGTTGTTGTCATGTTACATATCATGACTTTCTCCCCCTTTGCTAAATCGGGTGTGGCCAGTGCGTGATGCATCCGGCCTGTGGGCCGCGAGTTTGACAGCTCTGTCCTACAGTGATACACTGGGTTTATTTTTTCCTCCCGGCTTTCCCCCCCCCCCCCCCGCAGAGCCTACTTGGATCAGTCCCATTTACAAATTCAGCATTTTTTTCACCAGTTTTTCCTGCCATTCCAAATCCATTTCCAATCTGTACATGGAAAGTCAGTGGGACAGGCTCAGACTTGATCTGCCTTGTATAGAGGTAATCCTTGACTTTACAACCACAATTGAGCCCCAAATTTCTGTTGTTAAGTGAGGCATTTGTCAAGTGAATTTTGCCCCATTTTTACAACCTTTCTTGCCCCGGTTGTTAAGTGAATCCCTGCAACTGTTATGTTAGTGACATAGCTGTTAAGTGAACCTGGCTTCCCCATTGACTTTGCTTGTCAGAAGGTCCCAAAAGGGGATCACATGACCTCAGGACACTGCAATCGTCATAAATATGAACCAGTTGCCATGTATCTGAATTTTGATCACGTGACTTCAGGAACGCTTACAATGGTCGTAAGTGTGAAAAATAGTCACAAATCACTTTTTTCCATGCTATTGTAACTTTGAACGGTCACTAAACCAACTGTTGTACCAGTAATTCCTTTCCAATAGTCAGTCGGGTTGGAAAGAATAAAAAGTCAAGATCTAACACCAGCCAGAAATTATTCTAATGCACCTTTGCCATTTTGGTTTAGCTTGATTTAACTTCTTTGATTTCCCACCTCAGAAAACTTCTCCTCCATAGTTTTATACCGAAGTTATTTTGAAAGAAACTTTAGTGGATCTCTAAGATCCTTCCTGTGGGAGAAGGCAAAAATGCTAACAATAGCAGGGAAAAAACCCAAGGCCGAACAATTTAGAGTGGAAAATATACAACAGCAGAAAGGTAAAACAAGCCAAAGGCAACCAATGGTGTAGGTTATAATATTTGAACCTAACCTGTCACCTAACTCACAACGGGCGACACGGTGGCTCAGTGGATAAGATACTGAGCTTGTCGATCAGAAAGGTCGGCATTCGGTGGTTTGAATCCCTAGCATGGCCTAACAGAGTGAGCTCCCATTACTTGTCCCAGCTTCTGCCAACCTAGCAATTCAAAAGCATGTAAAAATGCAAGTAGAAAAATAGGGAACACTTTGGTGGGAAGGTAACAGCGTTCTGTGCGCCTTCACGGTTTAGTCATGCCAGCCACATGATCACGGAGAAATCTTCGGACAGTGCTGTCTCTTTGGCTTTATAACGGGAGTTGAGCACCATCCCCAGAGCCGGAAACGACTAGCACGACTAGCAAGGGGAACCTTTACCTTTACTTTTTAACCTGTCACCATTAAAACAATTTTGGCTTAGAGCAGGGGTGTCAAATTGGTGGCCTGTGGGCTGGATGAATCATGCAAAGGCCACACCCACTCCAGCTCTGCGAATAGAAAAAAGGCATGAAATGTCACATGGTGGCAGCGTGATGTGGCGAATTTGACACCTGTGACTTAGAGTAAGGTGCGCATCTAACCACAGTGGCATTGAATACCATTCCTAGTGCAGACTTACTTCCAAGGTGCTGTCGCCAGCCAGAGAGTTCTTCAGCATAAAATCCACATCGCCCAGTTCATTAGACCCGAATGGCATATGTCTCCGCCGGCTTTGGGCCCACTTCCAGACAAAGAGACCAACTAATACAGTGAGAATCAAAATAGCAAACAGTGGAACCAGGACCATCAGGAGAAGATTCTTCAAAGGCGGGTCCTTTTCATCCGGATCACCTGATTTGAAGAAGAATCCATTTAGTTACTACTGCTATTCTTTTTATAAAACTTTATTAAATTATATATATACATCTATCTATCTATCTATCTATCTATCTATCTATCTATCTATCTATC